CGTGGGGGGGACACAGGGCTGCGACCCCCGTTTGGGATCCCTACGGGGGTACCAGGGAGGAAGATGCTGCGGTCACATCGAGAAGCCTGCAGGGAGGTTGAGGTGAGGAGGGAGGCGCTGGGGACCCCCTGCTAGTGGTCACCATCCCCACCTGTGCCCACAGGGGCATCATCAACGTGGCCTCGTCCACCAACCTGCTGACAGACTCCAAGAACGTGCAGCTGGTGCTGGACCCCAGCCTGCAGCTGCTGAGCCGAAAGCAGCGCAAGCTGATCCGTCAGAACCCCGGCATCCTGCACAGCGTCAGCTCCGGCCTCCAGACAGCCATCAAGGAGTGCAAGTGGCAGTTCCGCAACCGCCGCTGGAACTGTCCCACCTCCCAGGGCCCCAACATCTTCGGCAAAATCGTCAACCGGGGTGAGGCTGGGGGTCAGCACAGGGGTCCCCAGAACTCCTCCACGCACCCCCAAGTTGGGATGCTCATCAAAGTGCCCCCGGTTTGTCATGGGGCATCACCAGCCCATCGTGATGGAGGGTTGGGGGTGCCGGTGGGTACCCCCTCCCCATCCCAGCAGCATCCTGAGGCCCCGCTCCCTCCACAGGCTGCCGGGAGACAGCATTCATCTTTGCCATCACCAGTGCAGGTGTGACACACTCGGTGGCCCGGTCGTGCTCGGAGGGGTCCATCGAGTCCTGCACCTGTGACTACCGGCGCCGTGGCCCTGGGGGGCCTGACTGGCACTGGGGGGGCTGCAGTGACAACATCGACTTCGGTCGCCTCTTCGGGAGGGAGTTTGTGGACTCCAGTGAGAAGGGCCGAGACCTGCGTTTCCTCATGAACCTGCACAACAACGAGGCCGGGCGCATGGTGAGGGCACTGGGGGAACAGTGAGGGCACTGGGGGAATGGTGAGGGCAATGAGAGAATGGTGAGGGCACTGGGGGAATGGTGAGGGCAAGGAGGGAATGGTGAGGGCAATGAGGGAATGGTGAGGGCACGGGGGAATGGTGAGGGCAAGGAGGGAATGGTGAGGGCACTGGGGGAATGGTGAGGGCAATGAGGGAATGGTGAGGGCACTGTGGGAATGGTGAGGGCAAGGAGGGAATGGTGAGGGCAATGAGAGAATGGTGAGGGCAAGGA